GTAATAAATTTATGGTATACTACAGTGAATAGAGAAATACAATACTCATAGATATGTAATTAATTGATAATATAAAGCATAAGAAACTATAGATTTGAATTTTAATGGCTTATTAATTATTATCAACTTAATAAATGTCATTATTGTGCATGTACTGCATATAAACCATTTAAAAATAAATTGATTGTACAAATATTGTGTTAAACTGAAATAAAAACAAAATTCTCGAATTTGACTATGCTAATTCTCTCTGTTTTTGCTACCGAAAAATCGACGCTCTACATATAGAATTTTGATTGCAAGCAGAGACCAATGTTAAAGTATAGCCATAGAGTTAAGCTCTAAACCCATGTTAAATTCTAGTTGAATAAGGAAGGAGGCATGTGCATCATGTTACGTAACGTAAAGTGTCTATGACACCATGTGACACTAACAACCATAGATTTAGATAAGATTTAAATGAGTTTTGAAATTTTAGTAAAATTTATTATTGTATGTGTAGACAATAATGTATACTGACAATCCCTTATATACAGGAAAACTGTCCGGTTTGGTAAATTACAATATTTAATGTATGGTTTATTCAAATAGAGAGTGATATCAATACTTAATTTTTGTTTTATTACTTATAAAGACTATTAAATTTACTTTAATATTATTAGTCTAGCATTTAATTAACATTACAGACAAGTATTGATCGAATAGGAAATAAGATATAAAAGTGTAAGTTATAATAACTAAACATAATATTAAATCAATATACAAAATATGTTAGTATAATTATTTAATCTATATTTATAATCAACCTTATACAGTACAATATATTTTTATAAAAATTGTAGCAATAAGTTATTTATAATTATCATTTAATTAATTTTATGTTTTAATGTCTCAATGTTATAAAAATGACATAGAGTTTCATAGATGTCCATCAATTTGACAAAAATAATAATTTAATATTTATAAAACTTGTATAAGACATGGAAATGACTTTTTAATAGTCTTAATGGCATTGAATTATTAGAGAATCTGCAGGTGTTGTGTAAATGTATAGACTTATGCATAGACTTATACATAGCGTGTTATAATACGATTCTTGAATCCATGGTCATTGCCATAAGAATATTCATGAAAATAAATATATTGTATTATAAAAATTATTGTAATCAATACTATTATATGAAAAACTAATTACTTAATGTAGTTTTATTTACCAATATATACAGTATATTACAATTACTGGTGTATACATAGTGTTTAGTAAATTAAGACAATACTGCAAATGTAGTTATTTATTAATAACGGGGAAAAATAGCTAACAATTTATTGATAGATAGAGTAGTTTAGTATTAAATTATCTAAATATAGACAATAAAGTCGTTTAGTCGTCGTGTCTCTCCTCTAAATAGTTCACAAGATTTTTGTGTCTAATAATTATTGATCCGTATATTTGTTATGAATTCACAGCGAAAACAAAATATTCTGTTACTATTAGATACTGGATATACAGACAACACATACTTTACACACAGACACACATATTCTGTGCAGTGAATGCCTGTGCCATACAAACTACATACGACTCTCTTTATGCTTTTGACACAAAAACTTGTACATTATTTAAACATTAATTTAACTTTGAATTGAATTTATAGTAACCAAACGATTGTGGGATTTGTATGCGTGAGAAAAACACTAACAAAATGATGGAAAAAGTGATTTTAGCCGAAAGTGATGACGACCTGTACGAGGGTTACAATGAGTTTCATCCGGCGCTCGACACCAGAGTTAGTGACAATTGTTTTATGAAATTACTAAATATTTGTAATTAAAATTTGATTGTCTCTCACATATTGTGTTAGAATTTACAATCGGATGAAGGCTTCCAACAGGCGGTCCTCAAAAGCAGTTACGGTCACCGCAAAGGTGTCACCACTGGGTACAGGGGAACCACTGGCGCCACCGGCCGTACGAACACTACTGCCGGGTATAGGCGCTCGTCGATCACGTCGTCCGGTCCGAGGGGTGCGATGGCAACCGCGGCCGCCGGCGGAGCGCAACCGTCCACCGCCCGACCCATGACTGCCGTACGCGGTGTGGGCTATACATCGCAGGGCAATCGTCAGGCCAACGGCGTCGGCGGTGTATTCGACCCGTTAGGTCAGGCGAAGTCAATGGTGTCCGGCTTTCAGGCCAGAGACGAGTCGACGCCCGAAGTGAAGGTCAAACTGTTGGAGAAGAAGATCAACGATTTGCTGGAGGAGAGTGTGTTCGCCGCCCAACGCCTGGAGTATAGCCTGAGTCTGGAAAAGGCCAAAGAGTGCGTCCAAAAGGAGCGATCGCTGTCCCGTATGAAAGAGCAGTCGACTTTAGCCGACACTATCGCCCCCAACAGCGACCTCTCATTTGCCGTACTCTTCAATTTGGCCGTTCAGTACACGAACGCCGACATGTACTCCGAGGCCATCAACACCTATCAGTCCATTATCAAGAATAGGACCTTCACTAATACAGGTGACCATTGATTGTGCTGTAAATACTGTTAAGTTTTTATTTTATTATAATATTGTGTTTGCTTTTGAAATGAAAGGCCGACTGAAGCTTAATATCGGAAACATTTATTTTAAACAAAATAATTATCCAAAAGCTATCAAATTTTTTCGCATGGCTTTGGATCAAATACCCACTATTCAGAAGGACTTACGGTATAATCCATATTAATATTTATACATTACATACAGTTATTTTCGTATATTCTTTGCGCTGTATTTATATCGTTATATCCATTAGTCTGAAGATAATGCAAAACATCGGCTTATCGTTTGTGCGGTTGAATCAGTTCGCGGACGCCATCACGTCCTTCGAGTACATAATGTCTGAGAAAATCGATTCGATGACAGCGTTTCATCTGATTGTCTGCAGCTATGCGTTGGGTGACAGACCGCAGATGAAGCAACACTTCGCCAAACTCTTGGAAGTGGTCAGCGATGACACGTTTGAGGACAAGTACGCGATGCACGCGGACATCGGCGACGACAATCTGGCCAATCATCTGTTGGTCGAAGTGATCAAAAACGATGAACTCAGACAATGGGAACGACAACAGAAACACGACTCGGAGTGGTCTATACTGACGGGCGCTAAACTGATCGCACCGGTGATCGGCGACACATTTAGCCAGGGATACGAGTGGTGTGTGGAGCAGATCCGGGCCTCACGTCACGCCCATCTCGCCAACGACCTCGAGATCAACAAAGCGGTCAAACACTTGAGGGCTCGCGAGTTCTCGGAAGCGATCGCCACTTTGAAGAGTTTCGAGAAGCGGGACAACAAGAGCGCGTCCACTGCGGCCACAAACCTGTCTTTCCTGTATTTGCTTCAAAACGACATATCGATGGCCGAGAAGTACGCCGACGACGCCATTAACGCCAACCGATACAATGCGGGCGCTCTCGTCAACAGAGGGAACACCTATTATCGACATCAAGACTACGAGAGGGCCAAAGAGTACTATAAGGAGGCCGTCAATAACGAAAGTCAGTGTCTGGAAGCCATGTATAACCTGTCGCTGGCTTTCAAGAAGTTGGGCGCCTGTGAGGAAGCGCTGGACTATCTGTTTAAACTGCATGCCATCACCAAAAGACATCCGCATATTCTCTATCAGATCGCCAATATGTGAGTGATTTGTTGATTTACTAGCCTTTATAAAGTGGTAATTTGTTAAATAAATGGCCTGGGAAATACAAAAAATGTTGTTCAGCATTATATGTAAATTATTCTAACTTTATTTTAAGTTTCTATCATGATTTATTATTTATTTCTCTGGTTTTATAGTACTTTTATAAAGTTTTTATTTTCTGGTTTATTACACGAAAGTTTTGACATAATTTATTTTATTTTATTAATTTTATACTTTTAGTTACGAATTACTGGGAAATAGGGATCAGGCGCTGGACTTTTACCAACAACTATTACATTTTGTGCCATCGGATCCGTCACTTCTGGTGAAGTTGAGTGATATGTGCGATGCGGACAATGATAAACAACAGGCCTTTAGCTATATAACAGACGTATGTATTAATTGCCATTAAAATGACCATTATGTTAAAGTCCGTGATTTTAATTAATTCACTCACTCATAGAGCTATCGGTATTTTCCGTCACACATACCAACCATTGAACGATTGGCCGCACATTATATTGAAAACAAGATTTACGAAAAGGCCATCAAATACCTGGAAAGAGCAGCACTTGTCCAGTGAGTTGTACAGTTTACAGATATGCCATTTCACTATACCTTGTTGTTTTGCTGAATAAAAATTATCATGATTAATTATTAACAAAATTGCATTCAATATATATTAAAATTATATTCTTGTAACAAATTGAATCAAAATAAACATAAATTTGCGTAAATATTCCTAAAACACGGCGATTATAGAAATGTGTTCGCTCTTGTTGTCCCGCTTCTCGAAACTCTCTCTCAAACAGACCAAAACAAATCAAATGGCTGTTAATGATAGGCGCCTGCCATCGCCGGAGCGGTAATTACCAGAACGCGTACAACTGTTACAAGAATATCCACAATCTGTTCCCCGAAAACATCGAATGCCTTAAGTTCTTGATCCGCGTGTCCACCGATTTGGGACTCAAAGACTCGTACGAATTCGCCGACAAACTCAAGAAACTGGAAAAGTCCAAAGAGATCAAAGACCAACGCGTGGCCAGCGGTCTGAACGGTGTCAACGGTGTGCTGTCCCGTAGCGCGAGTCGAGCGTCCAATCGCCGGTCGGCCGCCAGTTCTCGGGAGGGCTCGGCCTCCAGCAGTAGCAGCGGTTATCTGACGTCCGCCAGTCCAAGGAGTACGGCCTCCAAAGGGGGCGGCAATGGTAACGGTAATGGCAAACAACAGCGGCTCGACAACGGGTTGGACGCCAACGGGAACAAGAATCTGGTGGACATGTCTGTGTACGAGTCGCTGGAAGTGCATAACGAAAGGCCCACCACTTCTTGGAAACGCAATGTGAACAAAGACGAGGACGACTTCGGCAACGATGACATCGTTGATATTTTGCCCGATTAGAGACCAAACCGGCCCAAAGTGTTGGCCACAAACACAACAACTGTTTTACATAAACAAAAAATTGTTACTATTATTAGTTACAAAATGAATTGTTTTTAAGAGATTTTATTCCGTTATGTAATAATTAGTTATAAATTGTTTTCAAAGTTTCATTTTTTGTATAACAAAAAAAAGAAATATTCCGTAAAGTGTGTTATCAACAGAAAAATAGCACAAAAACTATATTTATCTATGATTTTACTAAAAAATATAAAATTTTCTTATAAATTAATGGGCTTTAATTTTTATTAATATTTACATTGGACTAATCATGATAAAATAAAATATAATTATAAACTATGGAGGTATAAATTAAATTGCAATAAATAATCCAAGATGTGCTTATAGTGATTATTTAGTGCTGGACTACATAAGCCTATTATCCACTAATATATCTGATTTACTTTTAAAACATGTGTTGACTATATTAGCAAAAGGCGCCGACACTATCACGAAGAATATACAGGCGATTATATACGTGACCACATAATCGCAGGCCATTACTGTCCACTGATATTAGTACACAAATTAATTATTACAAAATAGTTACAAGTGATTGAATATGTATTTACAATATGGTAATTGCTGTAGAAGGTTTTTTGTCGAGCGATTCCCATTCGATATGCGATTACCATTGAATGCATCTAGATTTATTAATTAAAATTTAAGCATGATGATACTATTAACATGGTAGAAATTGCACATACAATGCATATTTCAAACGATACAACACTCGTTGAATAAAAGCCTTTCCACGAAAGAAATTTATTTATAAAACCTGTGACAGAATATAATTATTGAGCATGATTAATATAATTAAACATGGTAACTTATATTAAAACGAGACCTCCCCGTCCAGTAGCGCAGGCATACGTGAGCCAAAACCAACCGCTTAAATACAGGAGCTTAGAAATGACCAGAAATGAGTAAATTTCTAATCGTGTCAAAGGATAGTATGGATCCCAGAAGTGGTTCCACCAGTAGATCGAGACAACTGTACCGCTCGTACACACGAGCCATAGGCACAGTTCACCCGCCCGTCCGCCGCAATACAGTTTAGGCTTACATTTGATTAAATACCCGCACAATAAGCCAATGGCATAGCTTACGAGATGTGGTTCTGTGCGCCAGTAATATATGGTAAATGCCTTGGCGTTGATGTATATGGAGTTGGGGGCCATGTATTCAAATATGTACGGTATATCCCACAAGAGTTTTGGTGCCAAACATATAAACATTCCCACAATTATTACTATTATATTCCAAACGATACCATATTTCCCATAATTGTAGAGCACAAGGAAAACAATGGGCGCAAACATTGTTAGGTGAAAGTCCGATGAGGCATACCTTCATTGTGGTAAATTTAATAGTGTTTTGGTCATGGGTGATTTCAAATTATCATATTAATTAATAATAAACCAATACCAATTTGCCGTGTTGCACTGAAAAATGGAATTTATCAGGGTAATTATTAATATTCTAGTTAATTCATTTTGAAGTAAAACACAACACTTACTGTATTAAACTGAACGAATAGGAATGAGAAAACTTCCTGTAATTAAAACATGATATTTTTTAATTTAATTATAAAGTTTTAAATGATTTTAAAACGAGTTAAAAAAAACTGACGACATATGTTTCGGGAATATCGATATGAGCTGTGGTGAGAACACTGGACAACCAGTTGTCACGACACGGTATATACAGACCATTTATCGTCATTTCCCATTTTGGGCCTGAAATAGTTTATTGACAAATTGTAATCTAGATCAATTATGGTAATATCTTTAACCATACAAACCATTGCCAACTAATGGTAAGATGAATAGGGTTAGAATGGCACCCAGAGTGGGCGGCATTATTCTTAGATATCTATAGAAATCAATTTTAAAACATATTTATATTATTTGCCACTAGATTTATAAATAAATTATAATCCAATGAGTATAAAATAATTAGACAAACAAAAACCTCAATGAAATAAATTTAAAATAATTGAATTTTCCGCTCCATTCGGTATCGATGGCCACATTTGCATAACAAGTGATCATTCCTTTAGAAATAAAAGTTATAAGTTATGAATAAATAATTATTCTAACATTTTCGTTGTGGCAAATTAACAATATTAATTATGGCAATAATTAACCTAGGACAATAAAATTAAATTCTATAAAACCTGTTATAAAGAAGAAGGTGTCAATGAGATTCATATTCTTGAAGGGGGCGTAACGGTAATCAGTGAAGAGGGCGGCGGGGGCTGAAAGCTTGTAGTGCTTAGAGTGGAGGGGCGACAAACCGGCCCAATACTGATGCATTAACATCATTATAAACACCATTATAGTCCGCACACCGTATAAATAGGCAAATGTATCCGCTTTTCTGGTCGGTGTCAATAATATTTTGCCATTTGTTATAATTGAGAATGAAATTAATATTTTGTTCATAAATAAGATCTCTTTCCTATTTATTTTTGCCAACATTTGCACATATAATTCATATATGGTTGAGATTATGGTCAACGATATTAATATGGTAAATGTTATTCTGTAATTATTGTCAAAATGCACTATAATTAAAATTTTGTATTTTTCTATTCACGAATAATTATTGAGATTAATTTTTAACTTAAAAATTCTACATACAGTGCAGTCTTATTATATCCATTAAAAACAACGGATTTATTAACATAATCGCAATCAGTGTCCACAACGATAGGAATTTGTGTTATTGGGTATAAAACTAAATAAAATAATATTTGTAAACAATTTAATTAATTTTAGTATTTTTAAATTAAAAAATCAAACTTTTGTTGATAGCGTATTCAATATCTTCGGGTCTACAAGTGCTGGGAATGCATATTCCGGCAGGAAATTTGGTCATGAACGTTTTGCTATATTGCCATGCTCCTATTATGTCATAGTAATACTTAGGGCTGATTTTTCCGGTACTTTTTCGGTTATAATTGGCGTAAAATATGTTTTTCAATTTGTTGGGAAAATTAACGTAATTGTCGTTAATTTTATCGACAATCGATTCATTTAATGGATTTTGTTTGTATTGTTCAACAGTCGGCAACACATCGATGGCACCCAACCAACAGTACTGTCCCCTCATTTGTGGCCAATTTATCTCATTGTCAGGACTTTCAAAGCGAAGGCACTCGTCGTAATCAAATGATGGCATCCTATTGTTGCCAATAATACCATTCATTTGAGGCAAAGTATTCAAAACTATAATAAGTTTTAATAAAATAGTGTTATTTTAAAATTATTATTAAATTATTGTAAAATATGTTATTTCATACACCGAAGAGCCCATTGTTTGTTATCTCTAATGCCGGACACAATCCTAATCAATGAAGACATGCAATCGTTTGGTAACTCAATTTCCAGCAGTAATTCACTGAATCGGGTCCTCAATCGATCGACAATAGGTTTGTATGTTTTGCTCACATTTTGTCGCAAATCCCGGAGTCTTCTAAACGTACCAATCGTTTCGTTGATATGTTTAACTCTCCGATAAATATGTGATTTATTGATACAATAAGCCAATGGCATAGCTTACGAGATGTGGTTCTGTGCGCCAGTAATATATGGTAAATGCCTTGGCGTTGATGTATATGGAGTTGGGGGCCATGTATTCAAATATGTACGGTATATCCCACAAAAGTTTTGGTGCCAAACATATAAACATTCCCACAATTATTACTATTATATTCCAAACGATACCGTATTTCCCGTAATTGTAGAGCACAAGGAAAACAATGGGCGCAAACATTGTTAGATGAAAGTCCGATGAGGCATACCTTCATTGTGTTAAAATTTAATAGTGTTTTGGTCATGGGTGATTTCAAATGATCATATTAATTAATAAGTAAACCAATACCAATTTGCCGTGTTGCACTAAAAAAATGGAATTTATTAGGGTAATTATTAGTATTCTAGTTCATTAATTTTGAAGTAAAACACAACACTTACTGTATTAAACTGAACGAATAAGAATGAGAAAACTTCCTGTAATTAAAACATGATATTTTTTAATTTAATTATAAAGTATTAAATGATTTTAAAACGAGTTAAAAAACTTACGACATATGTTTCGGGAATATCGATATGAGCTGTGGTGAGAACACTGGACAACCAGTTGTCACGACACGGTATATACAGACCATTTATCGTCATTTCCCATTTGGGGCCTGAAATTTTTTATTGACAAATAGTAATCTAAATCAATTATGGCAATATCATTAAGCATACAAACCATTGCCAACTAATGGTAAGATGAATAGGGTTAGAATAGCACCCAGAGTGGGCGGCATTATTCTTAGATATCTGTAGAGATCAATTTTAAAACATATTTATATTATTTAGCGTTAGATTTATAAATAAATTATAATCAAATAAGTATAAAATAATTAGAAAAACAAAAACCTCAGTGAAATAAATTTAAAATAATTGAATTTTCCGCTCCATTCGCTATCAATTGCCACATTTGCATAACAAGTGATCATTCCTTTAGAAATAAAAGTTATAAGTTATGAATAAATAATTATCCTAACATATTCGTTGTGGCAAATTAACAATATTAATCATGGCAATAATTAACCTAGGACAATAAAATTAAATTCTACGAAACCTGTTATAAAGAAGAAGGTGTCGATGAGATTCATATTCTTAAAGGGGGCGTAACGGTAATCAGTGAAGAGGGCGGCGGGGGCTGAAAGCTTGTAGTGCTTAGAGTGGAGGGGCGACAAACCGGCCCAATACTGATGCATTAACATCATTATAAACACCATTATAGTCCGCACACCGTATAAATAGGCAAATGTATCCGCTTTTTTGGTCGGTGTCAATAATATTTTGCCATTTGTTATGATTGAGAATGAAATTAATATTTTGTTTATAAATAAGATCTCTTTGCCATTTATTTTTGCCAATATTTGCACATATAATTCATACACAGTTGAGATTATGGTCAACGATATCAATATGGTAAATGTTATTCTGTAATTATTGTCAAAATGCACTATAATTAAAATTTTGTATTTTTCTATTCACAAATAATTATTGAGATTAATTTTTAACTTAAAAATTCTACATACAGTGCAGTCTTATTATATCCATTAAAAATAATAGGTTTATTGACATAATCGCAATCAGTGTCCACAACGATAGGAATTTGTGTTATTGGGTATAAAACTAAAAATAATATTTTTAAACAATTAAATTAAATTAATTTTCATATTTTTAAATTCAAAAATCAAACTTTTATTGATAGCGTATTCGATATCTTCTGGCCTACAAGTGCTGGGAATGCATATTCCGGCAGGAAATTTGGTCATGAACGTTTTGCTATATTGCCATGCTCCTATTATGTCATAGTAATACTTAGGGCTGATTTTTCCGGTACTTTTTCGGTTATAATTGGCGTAAAATATGTTTTTCAATTTGTTGGGAAAATTAACGTAATTGTCATTCATTTTATCGACAATCGATTCATTTAATGGATTTTGTTTATATTGTTCAACAGTAGGCAACACATCGATGGCACCCAACCAACAGTACTGTCCTCTCATTTGTGGCCAATTTATCTCATTGTCAGGACTTTCAAAGCGAAGGCACTCGTCGTAATCAAATGATGGCATCCTATTGTTGCCAATAATACCGTTCATTTGAGGCAAAGTATTCAAAACTATAATAAGTTATAATAAAATAGTGTTATTTTTGAATTATTGTAAAATATGTTATTTCATACACCGAAGAGCCCATTGTTTGTTATCCCTAATGCCGGACATAATCCTAATCAATGAAGACATGCAATCGTTTGGTAAATCAATTTCCAGCAGTAATTCACTGAATCGACAGGAGTTAGCTAGCTGTTATCCAAACATACAAAACGAGTGTAAAACAGCGTTTAGGGCCTCAGAAGATTTGCATGGTTAGCAAAGCAACTATACAAATTGAGAGGCTATTTATACACTAAATAACTTTGTCTCGGAATAGTCCGCCGGTGTTAACGACACAAACATTTTGTCCATAAGTTTGTTTAGCGAACACTTATTCTCATAACGAATCCGATTATTATCGTTGGGCTTAAGAGAAAAGTTTGACAAATAGTTAAAGTCATCGACAGATATGCGCCAATCATTTTGTCCATCAGTGGTGCCGGCAATCAAATTATTAAATCCCCATATTATCAACGCATAACAGATAATGCTTTTCATTGTATACTTTAATTATATAATAATTATATTATAAGAAATGTTCATTTTATAAATATTGATGTTTTCTCTCATATATGGTATTTGATTGTTCAATGCATGGATGCCAGCGATTGCACTGACAATAAGAACATATTAATTTGATTTACATTTATGAGATAATAGGCGGTAAAACCACCAGCTCACTTTAAATATTACATGAATATTTATGTAATCAAAACTGTCATAATACTAGTTTGCGATACAATACACTACAACAAAAGTACTTTAGTACTAACAGAACTTTAAACATAGCTAGTTTAGTTTTATAAGTTTGACTAAATAATTGCAATGAATTTTTAAATTACTTTTTAGATCTTTGTTTCGCAAACATATTCAGTATACCGTATTTATAAATTATTTCCTTATATTCCAGTTATGCTTATGTTTTCCGTTTGTGTCAATCTTTATGCAAATACTGTGAAGACATTAAGTTTAATACACTTCTCGGTGTTAATAGTAAACAATACATCAATTCATTTACTATAGAACCAAAACAAACCACAGAAATAATTAAAAATTAAATAAATAAGTTTCTTAAAAATGTGCGAAATTAATATTTTATTTTACAAAATATACAATAATTGTACTTTCATTTTAGATTCAGTCCATTAAACAAACAACTTCAAGTAAACATGCATTAAATATAATGATAACATAATGAATGAATTGTGAAAATAAAATGATCTTTAATTCACATAGTAATCAAGTCTTAAACGCAACGATTGAGTGCAGGAATTGTTGCGAAAGTTTTGCGTCCATCGATTGAAAGTGATTTGATTTGCAAATTGTTTTCCAATCGTTTGCCGCAAACTTTAAGCAAACGTTTTCTAATGAATTTAATTCGTAATTAACAGCCGTTTCATACATAATACAAATGTTATTCAAATCTACAATAGATTGCAAACATTGAGCGCATATGTCTTTGAGATCGCTTTCGCCGTAAGTGTGCGACAATTCCAAGAGTTGGTTACAGTTGTGGAGATTAACTTCGGGTGTCATTGAATACAAGTATTGAATGAACGAAAACATTGTTTCGTATGAATACTGTTCGCCGATATAAACCTCGTTATCGTTTTCCATATATTTCTCAATTGATTTCCAGAAACATTTGTTTCGGATCTCAAGAATAGTTTTGTGGCAATAAATCACATCCTCTTTGAAAACAAACACCAAATCAAAGTCCGATTGATCGTCAAAGGCCTCCACTAAATGATTTTGAAACAAAATTCCCGGCATATTATCATCGCATGAGTCCAGTGAACAGCTATTGCGAACTGACACCTCTTCACTCGTACTGTTTCCATGATTTACCACATATTGATCATTAGATGGCAAACACTGTTCGTCGGGTAACTCATCGCCGAAAACAATTGATTCAAAAGTTTTATTAATTCCCGAGTATTTGGCGTAAACATCAAATAGCGTGAAATGCTTCGTAAAAATGGTCACATCCCACGGGCAGTGAATCTTTCTCCCGTGGTAAGTATAGCCCCAAATCCATGTCCTATTATCCATCGATATGGCCAAACATACGGTGTGATCGTAATTAGTGACAATGTCTTTGAATTTGAGATCAGGTTGTATTCTAATGAGTGAGTATTGATTGTCGAAACAGCGGTTCCCTATCTGCCCAAAATCGTTGTGACCCATGGTGTGTATGTAGCCGTCGGCGGACAGCAGTAGCGTATGGTTTGGACCGCAAAGAGCTTTCTTAAACACAGTCTCCTCAAAGCCAGGGATAAGTTCCGGGCATTCGTTATACGATCGCTCTTTAGGTCTTCCGTCGCTGAAAGAAGCGACTAGAAGTAGAGCTACAGCTGGGTTAACCGGCTTTAGCAACTCTGGGGTCTCCATATGCTAAGGTCACGCGCAGTCGCGGTCACTTACTGTAAAGGGCCTTCTGTCGCTTCGTTACCCAAGTCAGATTGAGACCCGAGCGGGCGCTGGTCTGAAACACACCGTCCGGTCACCGATTTGACCGAATGAATTGCGACCCCAGGCCCACGCCTGGCCGTCATTGGTCAGCGCCAGCGAATGTCTGTTACCACAACTCACGGCAACAATTTTATGGCCAGTAAATTCTTGTAGTAGTTGGGGAACACATGTCGACTCGTACGACCCGATGCCCAACTGACCAAAATCGTTTTCGCCCCACGCGTACAACTGGCCGCTGGCCGTCAGTCCAATACAGTGGCCGAACCCGTAATACAAATTCTTCAGTCGTTTGCCCGATAGAGTGGCGTTGAGTCTTGGAGTTGGGATTTCTTCGTCGTCAACCCCTAAGCCTAAAGTCCCGAACCGATTGCGACCAAAGCCGTAGACATTGTCTTCTTTGGTGGCGAATATCACTTCAGTTCCGTTGAAACCGAAAACAGCCAGAAGTCTGACGGATGTCTTCAGCGTATTGTCTGATACTAATGGCTGCAAAGCCCTGAATTGTTTGATCACTTTTAACTCATCCATAGATTGGTAGCAATTCTGAGGCAATAAAACAGCAAATGATTAGTGAATGAAATGCAAACAAAAACTGATTAAACATTAGATTTGTTAATAAATTGTGAAATGAATGACACGTTTTGCACACAAAACCAAACTTTTGTTATATTTTGTTATCAATTTTGATATCAATTTTTGAGACCAGAAAAAACTCAATCAAATGTTTGTTTACATTTTGTGTGTAGTTTTTAAATGAAAATTTTCAAACATTCAGACAATTATCACAGGTTTCTTGTGGTCACAAATCAAGACAATCGTTGCCTTCAATGAGTGTCTTTGAAATCAGTTGAATTTTTATTATAATTAACACTGAATTTACGCTAAATTTAACACATGTTTACACATATGTTGTAATATTGATTGGCATTTAAACCATGAATTTATTATAGCATACAATGAATATCCATAACAAGCATAGAGTATACATACGTTTACAGTCATTGCAATACAATTAGCGCTGATTTTAACACTAATTAAACTAAAAATTTTTAATTAAAAACTTTAATTAAAAACATAACTAAAGTTTTGCACAAACTTTCAAACGGCAAGCGTTTCATTGATTTCAGCACTAAATAAAATGTGAAATACTGTCCATAAATAATGTGCGCAAAAATGAGTCCCCGTTTTGGACCCACTATTGAGGCAATGACTCAATGCTATTGAAGTGATTGGCAGTGAGTTTAGGTGTGAAACCCATTCGAGACATACTTTATGCCAGCGTTTCATTGAAAACACAGAAATCGTGTTGTTTTTCAAACAACACATAATTCACAAAACGTTTCGACAAAACCATTGCTTTCACCACAGATTGTGTCCTCATTTCGGGTGATAATCGGTTGCCGACAGACAAAGAGGTCTCAAACACGAAGACATCGTTTGCATGAGGAGTACAATTCCCTTCTGTCGGTTACTACCCACTCTCTGTGCTGTGCAGCGCTGAGATGGAGACGTCATCGCGACTTACGCACCGGTTCTTCAGACGCCGGTGAGTAGCGGGTGAGCACAGGCGGCCGTTTGGGCTAGACTCGTCGGATCCGTTCGTGCCGTTGCGTCTTCTGGTGTGCGGGCACTCCATGTGTGAGCTCTGCCTTTTGGACATTTGCCGCCAACAGAGCAAAGATGCCCACTCGTGTCCGCCGGCAAACCCGATGACTCGTCGGATCCGTTCGTGCCGTTGCGTCTTCTGGTGTGCGGGCACTCCATGTGTGAGCTCTGCCTTTTGGACATTTGCCGCCAACAGAGCAAAGAGTTCATCAAATGCCGCATCTGTTCCCAAATCACGACAATCGGCGACGCCGTCCACCGCACTATTGCTCAGCACGAGTTGGACATTAAGAAGTGGACGGATCCCACTGCCTCTGGAACCGCTGTCTTAAGGCTAGAAATGAAAGACATGTTGCCATTGGATTTGTATCAATTGGGTCTCGCAGTTGATTGCGGCGCCATTGCGGCCACGAAGGCGGCCGAGTGTGTGGACCTAGACTTGGATGACGACACCAATGCGGCGGCTGTGGGCGGCACTCAAACGCCGGCCAATGATCAGCGACTGTTCAATAGTTTGCGCGAAGACAACACCACAATGAAGACCATAGAGTCAAAGATCCCGGCGACGGCGCCGAAGCAGTTCCAGGACACTGTCCGTAACGGCATAAAGTCGTTCATCGAATTGTCCACTAATCATATGGCAATCAATCGGTCTACCGATGAGACCAAAGAGTGGCTCCAGGAGTCCAAACAGAGCACTCGCGAGATGTTTCATCGGTTCCACTCTATTCTTCAGTTCCGCGAGAAAGAGCTGTTGCGAGAGTTGGACGCACTCGCGGACGGCCGACAGGAGGAGCTTCGAGTCTTCATGAATGAGATTCTGACCAAACGATCGGATCTAAAGGGGAAACTCTTGCAATCCATTCAAACCCATACCGACAAAGAGAGGCAACAGTTGCGCAAACAGATCGATCTGTTGTCCGGAGACTCCAACTGTATTCAAGTGAATCCACCGAAGACTGACTTTAAGTTCATCCACAACGAGAACATCGAAGACGAGCTCAAGAAGTTCGGCAAATTCGAGAGACAGAGACACACGTCGACAACGGGAGCGACTGCGGGGGCGGCGGTCACAGAGAACGGCACGAATCATAGGCCCGACAATACGGTGACCCTATCGGACGATGAGGACGAGGCGCAGCCGGCAATGGACGACCAGTCAGAGGACACTCTCAACAGAGAAGTGGTAAATATCCTTCATATCGATAATCCGCATAAATTCTATGTGCAAAAAGTGTCGGACAAAGAGAGGTTTGACATAATGTGTCAACAAATAGATGCCATCTGTAACTCGGCTTATAATCACGGGCCGGGCGTCGATGGGATGGCCACCGGGGAGTCGGTGTTCGCCTATTCGCTGATCAAGAAGTGTTGGTGCAGAGGAACCGTCACTTTCATCGACCAATCGGGTCGCGGCGAACGCCGATTCGCCGCCAATGTGCAGCTCATTGACTACGGCGTGAGTGAAGTGATTAATTGGGATCACATACGCGAGAAGCGACCGGAACTGTTCGACCCCCGCAAGTATCCCCCGTTCGCCATAAAGTGCGCCCTCTATAACGTTAAGCCAAAGTCTTCGTCGAGCGCTTCCCGTGAGTGGAGCGCCGCCGCGAAGAACCTCTTCAAACTCTACGTGACTAACAATGCGGTCATTTCGTTTGACTTCGAGACCCGCGACGGCTATAAATTTGTTGATCTCATCCATTACGACGTGCCGGACGTCGTCTATCAGATCCCGTCCGTAATCGAGGCGTTGGTACGCAACGAGTGCGCGGCTCTCACCGGACAGATCGACTTCGGCTCCTATTGTCGCCATAAGAGTCAATCGAATCGCTATAAGAGCGAAGAGTTGCCAAAACTGATGAGCACATCGTCGGTGTTGGTCTCGCACGTGGAAACGCCCGACCATTTCTACGTTCAACTCCAGCGCCACCACAAAGTGCTGATGGATATGCTCGAGAAGTTGAACGCCGCGTACAGCCGCCAGACCGACGGTATCTACACGTACTACTGTCCCAAACCGGGCACTCCTTGTGCCGCTATCTTCTCTGGCGATAAGAAGTACTACAGGGCTGTCGTGAAGAGTCGCACGAAGACTTCGGGCACCGAAGCGGTCATACAGTTTGTCGACTTTGGCAACGAAGAGACGGTTCGCATTCGGGACTTAAGGCTCTTGAAAGACGACTTCTTCGAGATGCCGAAGCAGGCGATCATCTGTGGACTCACTCACGTCGAGCCGGCCTTTGGTTTCAAATGGAAAGAAGATGTAATTTTTGAAAATACTTTTTAGTGTTTAAATCCGATAAACACTAACTAACAAATATTTTATATAACACTTTGTTTTGCTGTTTATTTTGCATATTTTGCTAAAACTATTTTAAAAGTATTTTTTGTATTGATTTTCAATTGATTTGCGAAACTAATGTTAAATTTTGGTGTTTTGTATCGTTGAATAGGGTATCAAAGATTTCAAGTTCTCGATATCCAACGATAAGGGGCCGCAGATACTGACGATGACGGTGAATGAGTTGCGACACACGGCCACCAAAGAGCCCAAACTGATGGTTGTGCTGAGGAGTTACGACGGCGGCGAATACGGTGTCAAAGTGAACGAACTGTTGGTGAAGAAGGGCGCCGCTCACAGCACTGGCCACCACTCCATCTCCGATGACGACAGGGCTCACAGCTCGCACGTGTCTACTGTTAGCGGCGGCGGTGATAGTCGTAGTTCATCGGCCGCAGCGACGGCAGCGGTGATGGATCTGCCGTACAAAGTGTCGGCTTTGATTGTGACCAAAGATCTAATGGAACGCAATCAACGGTCCAATTCAGACAAACGGACGTCACTTATCAAAGTACGGGTGACTCTCATGGAATCGCCCGCAGAGTTCTTCGTGCAGATCACTAAAGCGGAAGTGAAGGACTATTTTGAAAAACACTTTGAAAACGAGTTGTACTCCGAGTACGCGTCGGCGCGACATCCGTATGACCGCACCGTCGGCTACAACGCCGAAGACTTGTGCGCCTTTAAAGTGGCCAACGATTGGCGTAGGGGTCAAGTGTTGGATCTGTTGACTACAGATAGCGCCTCGTCTCCCGAAGCGGTGCCCACCTATAAGGTGCTGGCTATGGATTACGGCACTAAACATACCGTTAAAATGAATGAAATGCGCGAATTGACGGACAAATTCCGAAAAGACGGTCCGTTTGCTATGAAATGCAAACTCCACGGCATAAGACCGGCCGGCGGTGACAACTGGACACAAACGGCGCGCGACGAGTGCCAGCAGTTTCTTAAACAAGAAGATCTCATGATTCTAATCAAAGACGACGACATCGAGAACGAGCCGATCGCTGTCCGACTGTACGCCAAAGTGACCACAATTCCCGGCGCTTTCTCGCGCCAGAAGACTGTTTACGATAGCCTTCACTCGGCGCTCGTCAACAAGGGTTTGGCGTTTAATGGATCCACTGTTTCGGATAACAGCCACGAGAACATCGATGACGACCAAGAGATCAATAACGAAGATATTAAGGGCGACCGCCAGGAAATGCCATTAACACTGTTTCCGATGGGCGGGTCGGCGTTGGAAGCGTTGTCTCTCCGCTATCAGCCGTCGGATCTGATCCAAGATTTTAAGTACAAGGAGCCAACGCTGCCGACCCAAAAGAACTTCTTCGGGTGGGGCACAGAGTTTGTGGTGAACAAAGACTTTGACATATCGTTCCGCATATTTCATAACGACTGCGACCCGCAGCCGACCACTGCTCTCGAGTGTCAGATAATGGATACGCTGCGAGAGAAGGGAGCGTTGGCTCCGTTCGTCGGTTCCTTAAGCAAAGGCAACGCCTGCACCGCGTATTTCAATTTCGACCGCACGTGGAATCGGGCGGAGATTGTGGGCTTCGGTACGGCTCCGGACGGCCAGAGACTGCCGACCGTTAGATACGTTGATTACGGCAATCAGGAGTCGCTTCTCGTTGAAAATCTGAGCTCAGATGTGTTCGGCAGAAATGTGCCCAAACAGGCCATCAAGTGTCACATCATTAACATTAAGCCCCGCAGCGAAGAGGCCGACAAACAGATCCGCAATATTATCTATAAGCAAGTGTTGGACAACAAGTGCCGCTATTTTTGGGAAGTAAGTACTCTATGGTATAGTTTAAGAGCTATAATACACTAAAGTTTGGTGACTAAACACTGTCCGGCGATTATATTTTTCAATGTAACGCTAATTTTGTAATCATTTTTGTGTTGACCAGAATTACCCGCAAACGCCTATGAAAGTGAGTATTGATATACCGATAGACAACACATACGTCTCGCTATTAGCATATTTAGAGAGTGAGGGACTTCTGGCCACCGATCGGAACGAAGAGAGCGAAGCGGTGGACGAGTACCTCAACATTGAAGGCATTATTGAGCGGACGTACGGCTTATATCCGAAAGTGTTTGACGCGAACCGCTTTTACGAAGTGGTGATTGCCTTCTCGTTGACCACGAAATACGCCTTTTTCAACATTCCTGAAGTTCAACGACCGCAGGACAGGGATCGGGTCATTAACGACGAGCACAAGTCCTTCCTCTCCGGACTGGATGTGATGCGCAATAATATCGATACATTCGCACCACTCAATAGTCCTGCCGAGGGTTTGTGATAAACCACTTGTTGTGTGTTATAATCTTTGTTGTATTGAATGTGTTGTTTATGCGATCACTTATAGGCACTCCATGTGTGGCCTGTAGTGCCGAAGATAATAACTGGTATCGGGCGCTCATCATCTGTGTTAAGCACACCGAACGTAAAGCTCACGTGATTTACGTGGACTACGGCAACACGGAATGGATCAATTTCAAAGAGTTTGTGTCTCATTTTGATTGCAAAACAATTGGTTTTTAATTTAAAGTTTTTATATTTTTGTTTTACTCTATGTTTTACAACAGTCTTCGAGCGATTCCACGAAGTCATTTGAAACCGAAAGCGCACTCAATACTATGCGAATTGTTTAACATAAAGCCGGCCAACAATCAGCTCTGGTCTCGGAGTGAGGCTTTATCGACAGAAATGGCCACCTATTTGGCCAATTTGCCCGAAGTCCCGCCTATTTTGGCCAAATTTAAGGTCAGTTTTGTGCCTATTATTTGTGCGCTAAAGTTACTTAAAATTGTTTGTTTTGTGGGCCCCTATCAGAGCACTACTTCTCCATTCAAAGTGGATCTATACCTGGCCTTAAAGAATGATCGCTCAAAGCCTGAACGACATGTGTTCCAGGAGTTTGTAGACAGAGGTGTACTCGAGTACTGCGACCCCCGAGACGTCTGGAAGCCGCCCATTGAGGCCACACAAAGCTATCGAGCGGTTCGAGTGAAGAGCGAACCCACGAATTAGCCATCGGTTCCGCAATTTAGTCCTATTGTGATTCTCAATTGACTTTTCATATTATTTGATACAACTTTTTATGCGTTCAGTTCTGATGTTATTGTGATTAGTATTAAATTTATTATAAATATCAGTATTTATGTCAATGAATCTAATAATTAATTTCATTTTGTCTTTTAATATGAATCTCAATGGTTTACGTAAAGAATTGCAATTATTTTGTTGTATTGTTTTCAAGTCATTATTAATTATAATTACATTTAAGTTAATAGAGTTATGAAATCACTGTTTGCGATAATTGTTGCCATAAATTAATTGATTATAAAATTATTATTTTTTTAAACACATGAAAATTTGTTTTTACTTTTTAATAGGGAATTGTTATAAATAAAAATACATTTAATTATATATTCATTGTTTTAATATTGGTTTGAATACACTTGTGATCAAATGTGTACAGATTTTTATAACAAGTTTTGTTGACTCGGATTTTAAAAATCAAAACATTCATTGGATTTAATGATAATATTCTTAGGAATCGTTACTTTCATACCATTTAAACGATTGATAAGTGATTTCTTAATATTTGGATCCAATTTAAGTTTGAAAAACTTCTTCGAAACCCTGTATTTAATACAATGGTATACAAACAAAAACAATTCCTCTGTGTTTTCATAGGATTTCAAACACAAGACATTGAGTTCTGTGAAGAGTTTCATATCATTAAATATAAGGGAAAATCTTTTAAATTCTAAATCAATACACAATTTCTTGAGATGTGGTAATTGTGATACAAAACTCATACTATTGTGTATGCATTGTCGGCATCCGGAGAGTTGGGCCGAGCCATGAATGCCCTCGCATTTGATCCAAATGTTATCCAGAAGTAAATGCTTTACATTTGGATATATTTGTTCAAAATTAGCCAACATTTGCGGAAAACACATCACTTTATCCAATACTAAAGACTCGAGTGAAGGCATGGGTTTCATAGCATTTGTGTCAAAATAAATGTCTGAATTCAGAGCCAAATGTCTTAATTCATTGAGATTTGAGATGTTTTCGACGAAGACATTAATCGGCAAACGATTCAATTTAATGTCAAAACTTTTAAGTTTGAAATAACTGCAAATACCAGCAAAAACTTGATCCCAACCCTCGCTATAAGTTTCAGATATGGAGAGCGCTTCCAATTGCGGACATCTTATCATCAATACATCCAATGAGTGCATCAATTCATTGATATTCTTGAGTTTCAGACACCGTATGCTTTGCGAAAGACATTTAAAAATTGAGTCATAACTTAAATACATTAAATCAATGAATTCAATGGATTCAAGTGATAATAATTGTGGCAAAATTTGCGGTATATTATAGTCAACGGTTCGCTCGAGAGTTAAATGAGACAATTGAGACAATAATGGATTCCATGCGTTCATCATCTCTTCATTAGACTCTGTAATCAGATTGTCGTTCAAATACAAGCGCTTCAGTTGTGGACATCGGCTCACAATCATAGCTAATGTCTCGCCATTCAGACGACTATAACTTAAATACAATGACTTTATGTTCAAACACTTCCGGAGGAATAAGTCTAATGTGTCTTTACTTTCAATCAAATCGTATTTATTGTCAAACTTACAAACAATAGCTCCAGTGATGTCTATGTCTTCTAATAAATGATGCTTTTTATTAAATACATATCCATTGGAACCAATTCTCAGTGCATTCTTCCTCTGGAGAGCACTTCCGACACAATCCATGAATTCAATGCAAACCGACTCTAATCTCAACAATTGTTTGACATTTAATTCATTGAAAATCAATCCCAAGATATCGTCATTCAAGACATAACTTCTTCGTGAATCCATGTCCTCATTAACACAACACTCGTACCACTCGTTGTCGTCAATCACTTCTCCTCTGAAGACATTTAAACTAAACCTCAAAATGAATTCAAAAGTTATAATTAAAAGTATATAAACAATAATTGATAACAAATCAAACATTAATTCATAAATTATGACATTTTTAATTAATTGCAAAATTAATAATAACTGGAATATAATTTTATTTATGAAATTATTTACTAAATTTAGTTTAAAAAGTTATATAAAATTATGAATAAATAAATTACAGAACAAATGCATAAAATTAATAATAAAATACAAAAAAGTGAAAACTTATCACTAAATGAGATACAAAATTGAAAACTTTTTAAAATGTTGTTAATAACTTAATGACTAAAATAAATAGTGAATTAAAAGTTTATGGCTTTCTTTGATTGTGGTGTGCGTTGACTCACATGTGAATCGTATGGCAGAAGGGGTTAACCATTTGAGGCCATCCGAAGACTGGATCCGTAGTTTAGTCCAAACTACTGACTAAACCATTGATAGTCGACACAGACGTCCGTCAGACCAAACCGGGAGCGATGGGTAGCCTTCGGGTCAAAGCACTCGCTTTGCAGACCGTCATCACTGGTGACAGTAGTCCTGTCCTGAAGACTGACTTCGGCAATGACTTGAGAATGTCTTCGGCAACTGATGGTAAGTCGAGGGCCACCGCAGACACAGTGGAGACCTGTTGTAGACACTCATTGTTGTCCTCCACTTCAGTTGACTCTAACAGTGAGTCAATGTCTCGAAGAGTGCTTTTTAAAGTGGATATGTTTTTCTCCAGACATTGGATCAATTGGTTTGTGACCAAAACATCGGTCGACTCTTCGGTCGTGTCTGTTGTAATCGAGTTTTCAATTGGTCTCAACTCCGACTCATTGTCCTCTTCTTCGGCCGACAAGTCATACAAAGCATTGGTTCGGATCGTAATAACAGATCCAAAGCTAATCTCTGGTATGGAATCGTTGGGTCCGAAGCCTAACGACTTTAGCCGTTTGCCGAGCGATCGGTTGTGTCTTTTGGTGCGAATCCTTTTAGGAATCCTTTTGATGGCTTTGAAAGCAGTGTTAAAGACATTCTCAGCTGATCTCCACAGAGACCTCTGTTGTTCGTCGGGACTCAAATGTGGGCCAACTCTTGTCGCCACTGAACCCCTTCTCTCAACAGCCGATGTTATGGCCGGAGCTGTGGTTCCGGTGTTATCCAAGACATGCGTGTCATGAGTGGAACCGTTAGTGGCGTTCGGATCCCTGTCTTGGGCTCTGCCTCTGACTCTTCGCCAGAGCTTTACAACACAGCACTCGTGTCGTCCACTTCTTTCGGCCGATTGTATGGCACCAGAAGTTGTTTGGGTTTCACTGCAAGCAGTAGTAGTAGTTGTGGTCATTATTGACGGGTTTGTGAAGTTTGGTGTGATTTGTAAGTGGTTTGGATGTGGTTTTGGTGATAGTTTGCGGAAGATTGTGACAAAAGCGTTATACGTTTTTGTTGGCAACTCGGCGAAGAAAATTTGGTGAAATTTTCAAACCATTGTTAAAATTTTTAATTTAGTTTAAAATAATTGTATCCAAAGTATTGTTAGTGTTTTATTCAATACAAAAGTCAAAGTCGAGAGTTCTTATAGTGAAAGATAGAAATTTGTTATACAATATAAAAAATTTTAATTGTAATTAAATTACTATCCAATTCAGTAGTTAATTACATTTTTATAGAATTTTCTATATTTACATTTGATTATATGTTTTATATTAAATTTAATCTATAATTAACATCATTAGCGTTAATAACAGTTAAGTTATAAAACCTTTTAGATTTTTTAGATAAAAATTAGATTTATATTAAATACTATTTTATTTATTTACTCGTTTATTAAAACATAAATAATACAATATATTAATATTTTGAATAAAAATTACAATTAAATATTATTAAAAATCAAAAACATTTAACTAAATGAACGGTTAATTATAAAACCAAAAAGTTGTATCAAATTATTATTTTCATTAAATGATGTGTTTTTACAGAATATTCTGTGAATTTAGACGTTTTCTATGTATAACTCAATGACAGACGAGACAAGTGTTGACACAAAACATGTGATTATTGTTGACATCAAAACAGACGACAAACCAATAGTTTTGCGTTTGTTTTCAAACATCACTTCATTTATCACTCATTTGTCGCACAATTCACACAAATTGTGAACAAATTTAATGTTTGATTAGTTGTGTTTTGTCTTCAATTGGTGTCAACCGATGGATGAGTTACTTGTGATCAAAGAGTTGCGTTCATTGCAGCCATTGGTGTCGGACACAGCGCTCAAGACATCGGTCACACTTCTGGCTGTTTTCGGTCTCAACGGATCCGAAGTGATATTTGCCACCAAAGAGGACAATGTGTACTGTTTTGGTCGCAATCGGTTCGGGTGTCTGGGCTTTGGACACGACGTCGAGCGGGAGATCCCGCGACCGGTACTGAACCGACACCTGTCGGGCAAACGGCTGAAGAACCTGTACTACGGGTTCAGTCACTACATGGCGTTGACATCTTTGGGCCACTGCTTTACTTGGGGTCAAAACGATTTCGGACAGTTGGGCATCGGATCCTTTGAGGCCAACTATGAGCCACAGCTCATCACTAGTATGACGGACACAGAGGTTGTGGACATGAGTTGCGGTAATAGGCATACCATGGCGTTGACCAGCGATGGCGAGCTGTACGCCTGGGGTCGCAATACGTTCGGCCAATTGGGCGACAGGACGTGGTGTTGGCGTCAATACCCGACTCGGGTGGTGATCGCGGAACCGATCGTTTCGATCTCTTGCGGTAAAAATCATTCGCTGGCGCTCACAGACGCCGGTCTCGTATACCTCTGGGGTCTCAACGATTTCGGCCAATTGGGTCGACACAGGGATCTCACTGTCCGGCACTTCGGCGACGGCAGACCCAAAGAGCGTGCGTTCAATGAGTGCCCGGAACTGATCCCCGGCTTTGAGCGCAAGACGTTTCAAAAGGCTTTTTGCGGACCCAATCATACGCTACTGCTGTCTACCGAAGGCCACGTCTATGCCTTCGGACTCAACGATTTCGGTCAGATAGGGAACGGCTGTCTCGACACCCAATACACGCCCACTAAGATCTACGGACACACTGTCTTCAAAGACATCCTCACGAACTACGAGAGCACTGTTTCGATAGCCGTTTCCATATACAACCGGCACTACGTTTGGGGCCATTACTATCATCAGCAGAAGATGTCCAGTCCTACCGATGTCACCAAATGGACGGCCAGTTATACTCTACACGATCTCTACGCCCGATATTCAGGCATCAAGAAGACATACAAAGCGATTGTTTTCAGCGATTTCAGCGACAGTACAGACGATGGCAACACTTGTGAGGCCTCTGATGAACAGATTTGCGATAATGGTATGGCTTTAGAGGACGCGTCAGACAGTTCTTCGTATTATAGCTGTTGGGCGACTGAAACCCACGAAGCGGTTCCCGGACTCGTATTTCAGAGTTATTTAGTGGAGGCTTTCGACAATCAATCGGACTTTGATTTGGTGTTTGTCTTCAAAGAGGAAGTGATTTATTGCCACAAAACTATTCTTGAGATCCGAAACAAGCGTTTCTATAAATCAATTGAGAAATATGTGAAAAACGATAACGAGGTTTATATCGGCGAACAGTATTCATACGAAACAATGTTTTCGTTCATTCAATACTTGTATTCAATGACACCCGAAGTCAATCTCCACAACTGTAACCAACTCTTGGAATTGTCGCACACTTACAGCGAATACGGTCTCCAAAACCTTTGCTCTCAATGTTTGCAATCTATGATAGATTTGGATAATATTTGCATTATTTATGAAACGGCTATTAATTATGAATTGAATTCATTGGAGGAATTTTGCGTCAATTTTGCGGCAAAGCATTGGAAAACAATCTGCATATCAGAAGCCTTTCAAGCGATGGACGAACAGATTTCTCAACAATTTTTGAGTTCAATTGTTAAAAACTAACACTTATTTTGCATTAAAACATTTATTTAGTATCCATTACTAAAAGGGCACTAATTTAGTAATATTTCATAACTTTATATATTTTCATAACTTTTATAGCGATTTACTAAACAGACAATTGTAAACACGATTACAATAACCAAAAACTCTTTAATATAACATATTTTGTATGAAAATTTAATTTATTATATATTTTTAATTACATATAATCATGATTTCGTTTGATCTACATTTAAATAGTTAAACATTTGTATAGAAATATAATATAAATTTGTAAAACTTAAATAAAAAGCATGATTTGTTCACATTAGCTGTTAATGAGTTGTATGATTGGTTTCAATTCATTCATGAGATCATCTTCGGAGCCGTCGTTGTCGATGACATAATCCCAATCGGTATACGAGTCGAGTCCACATTCGGTCTCCTTGTCGTCGATGCCGGCGGTGAAACTCCAGCCCCTCTTAACCCTCGTCTCGACCGATGCGCTGATCCTTATGGCCAACACTCGGCTGTCCTTAAACTCTTGGTTCGCCTTAAAGTACTGGACATCGCAGAGACGTCTGGTATCGGACAGAATCCATATTGATTTGCACTTTGCGTTCGACTCCTCTATTGTGAGCCGAAGAAAATAGTTGGGATCAGAGGCGCGGATCCGTTCGGACCAAACGACCATTTGCTGTCTGTAGTCCTCCTTATAATGAGTGGCGTCCAGAAGTCGGTCGAAGTCGAGGCCGTGGTCTTTGGCGAACTGTCTCTTAATGGGCGCTGCGATACGAAAGACCACAAAATCGGACAAATATTTTGACAATAAGTCGACGCAAAAGTCTTTCCCTGACTTTCTTTTGCCACTAATTAGTAAAACTGTTTTCGGGTTCTTGTTATCCATATATTTGGCTGTTTTTAAAAACAAATAAAAAACACAAACTTTTATCTCTGTTTTTGAAATTTTAAAGTAAATATAACTTGTAATACAAGTTTAATTTGAAAAAACACTTGAGAAAAGTCAAGTAAATCAATGAGTTATTGAAGATTCTTAAGGATTTTATGAACACATTTTAAAAACAATTTTTGTGAATTGAATTTCAATAGCAATTTGTGTTGTTTTCTGTACACAAATCGATATCCGGTTAAGAAGTTTTGCATTTCATTTATCTTAAACACTATTTTGAATGCAATTTGTTATACGAATTAGTGGTTAGACTTGTATTTCGATACCGTTTTTCCTACAAAACTAGTTTCTAATGTAGTCTTCATTTACTGTTTATTTTAACACAATTTTTACGTATAAATTATTGTTGTATTAAATATACGCTATTTTATGCACATTTAGCACATCTGGTAATAAACGTCAAATATTTTAACTAAAAAACCACATTTAGATATTCAGTAAAGTTTTAACAGTAATTAATATTTTTCATATGAATTACTGTTGATATTATTTTCTACCGTTAAATAATTTAATTACTGTTAAGTTATAAGTTGTGAATAGTGTACAAGAATTTTACTAAATAACATACATTGTAAATACATTGTGGCATAGAATCACCTTGGGTGGTTTAGTGTCTACAAATTTTAAGTGTTTTTTGTTATGTACGAGAATTTAGTGTATAATAAACACAAGAATATGTTTTGAAAAATAAGTTTTTTAAACACAAGTAATAAAACAAAAAGAGAGGAAATAATTACAAAACATTTTTTAGGTAAGAATTCATTTCCCGGCGATTTTGGTGCCAATCGTTATCGATATAAGTGTTTGCTTTTCAATGCTATTCACAAATAATCTCTCATTTCTAATAATAACGACAATATTCTGTGAAAATATTCATTGTTTTCAAAGTGTTATTCAATATTCAAATATTTTCGTATAATCATCGCAATTAATGTCAATATTAAGCGTCACTTATAATCCGATAGACAGTGTGTGGGAAGTGTTTACTGTTATATCAACACAAAAATAAATGACAAATATCTGTAAAAACTTAATGAAAAAATTACCATTGATTACAATATAATGATTAGAGCATTGCATTCAATGTATTGAATAACAAATGCAATAAATATCAGCTTCAAAAGGCGAGTCACGCGCAACCAAACATAATTCAGTACACTATACGCACAGCAATACATGTATATTATTTGTACACTATATAAGACACATACCGTACTTTTACACGTAATATTACACAGCATTTATTTTCATGCATGTAATCATTTTGATTACACAATTTGCATCATATCATGCAATCGTCGGATAGTATTTCACTCACATTTGTCTAATCATATAATCATATCGATAGGCATTTGCCGATACGTTGATTGTTAAGTGGTGTTCAATACGATTGTAGAAGTGGACAGGGATTGTGATTGTCTGGCAATAGACTAACCACTCGTAACCATCTCTTGTTTGGTGTAAACATCAGACCCTCTCCTCACTCCTGTCTATCCCTCTCTCTATCTCTCTATCGCTGTGTTTGTATTGAGTACTGGTTTTGAGGGCTATTTAAAGGGCCTGTAATACAGACAACACAACACATCACACATGGGTTTAGCGTTTAGACAACACTTTGTTATTCAATCTGTTATCTGAAGTCTAGCCGAAGAGCGCTGTTATTGTTGTTGTTGTGAATTACATCGAGGTATTCATGATAATTGATTGGCCACGAATCTGATCTAGTTTGTTTTTGACCCACAGCTTGAGACGTGTTGCCATTACCATCATTACCATGTCATTACTGGATCCGTGCGATAACATCATACTCATCACCGACTCCTATAAGGTTTGTGTCATTTTTCTGACCACTGATGACAAGTACAGTACATCTCATTGGATGTCTCATTGAATTCATAAACAGATCACTCATTGGAAACAATACCCGCCGAAGACTACCCGCTTGTACTCGTATTTCGAGAGCCGCGGCGGCCGTTTCGACGACACCGTCTTCTTCGGCCTCCAATACATTCTGAAGCGCTATCTCTGCGGTCGAGTGATCACCGACGAGAAGATCGCCGAAGCGAAAGAGTTTTGTCGCAAACACTTCCAGAGGGAGAGTCTGTTCAACGAGGATGGCTGGCGACACATCGTCCGCAAACACGACGGCCGACTGCCGCTCAGGATTCGCGCGGTGGCCGAGGGAACAGTGATTCCCACCCAGAATGTGCTCTTCACTGTGGAGAACACCGATCCAGCGGTTCCGTGGATTACCAACTGGTGAGTGGTGTTTGTTCGCTGTGTTCTCATTGATTGTTTTGATAACCAACTGATTGTATGTTTAGGTTTGAGACACTACTACTCCAGTGCTGGTATCCGATAACTGTGGCCACACTCTCGAGGGCGCAGAAAGTGATAATCGCTCAGTACATGAAGGAAACGGCCGATTCGTTAGACAGGGTTACCATTCAATTACACGACTTCGGATATCGTGGCGTCTCATCTGTTGAAGTAATTAATTGGATTGTTATCTCATTTAATCTAAAAACTTCATCTAATTGTCCATCTCTTTGATCCCCTCAAAGCAAGCGGCGATCGGAGGCGCCGCCCATTTAGTGAACTTCATCGGCACCGACACTCTCGCAGGCATTCAATTGATCTCCAAATACTATGGCGAAGATATGGCGGGCTTTTCAGGTAAATGATTGATACTTTATGTACCACTGTTTGAACTGATGTCTTAAACGCCGATCCCCTGTGCAGTGCCGGCCACAGAGCATTCAACGATGACGGCGTGGGCCGCGTCCGAGAACCCGGACGCTCTGTTTGACGGCGAACTCCGGGCGTGTGAATACATGTTGAAAGAGTTTCCTGACGGTATCATATCAGTGGTGTCCGACTCGTACGACATCTACGAGTGTTGCGAAAAGATTTGGGGCCAAAAACTGAAGGACATGGTCATAGAGCGGGGCCGACACGCCTCGGGCAACGTACTGGTGATACGGCCCGACTCGGGTGAGCCCATAGAAGTGTTGCCCCGAATACTGGACATACTGTACGAGGCGTTCAAAGCCGACTGCACTGTAAACAGCAAACAATACAAAGTACTGCCACACTATTTGCGTATAATACAGGGCGACGGCATTAGTATCGACTCTTTGCGGACAATACTCGAGCGCATCAAACAGACCGGCTTTAGTGTCGAGAATTTTGTCTTCGGGAGCGGCGGTTCACTCCTGATGCGCGTCCATCGGGACACCAATCGGTGCGCATTCAAGTGCTCGTACGCCGAGATCGACGGCAAACCCGTCAATGTCTATAAGGATCCGAAGACCGACCCGAAGAAGTCGTCCAAAAAGGGTTTGTTATGTCTGGAGTACAACGAAGAGACCAAGAAGTTTATCACTCACGAAGAGCAACAGAACAGTGACAAACGGGTCCAATGCCGGGATCTATTGCACACCGTCTACGAGAACGGTGTTCTGCTCAAGGAGTACACGTTTCAAGAGATCAGAGACAATGCAAAAGTGACCGTCGATGGCCATCGTATTTGATGGTCGTTTGCTTGTCATTAGTGCACAAAACTCATACACATAGACACAAACACACAGTATTATTATGAAATGTTTGTTTTTTATATACTTTTAAGCATGAAATCAACTGAATCTCGTATTTATGAGCAAACGATTACATTAATCATTTTCAACGAACACATGCATCAGTTTATATTTGGTTAAAACAACATAAGAAAGTCCACTAAATTATTGCTATATTATTATTATTATAGTATTTATGAGATTATAAAAAGTATTAAATTTTTTAAAGAGTTTATAGTGTATTAAAAATGTTAGGCCTTTTATTATATAATATATATTAAAATGAAACTAAACAACATATAAGTAATAAGTATAAGTTATTTTTGTTTTTTAAAAAATACCAAATGTTTTATTAATTTATAAATCAATCAAAGTTTTCTTAGCAATCAATCAATCGTTATATTTAGACAAAAAACGTATTTAAGAAGTGGTAGTATTGTTGATGAGCTCTTCGACTTCCTCTTTAGTGAACAGATGATAGCCTTTGTCTTTAGTAATGGTCGCCACTTCGACATTAGTCGAGTTCAGCTTCTCTTCCATCACTTGCTTCAGTATATTTAGCAATACTTTTAGCGATTCTTTCAAATCAATTGCCTTTTGATTGCAAAATAAAAGATAAAACAAATTCAAAACCAATTGTCACTTCATTTACGACAAACCTTATGGTAACTCTCTTTGAGCGACTGTTGGGCGCCCTCACAGCCGGCGCCGATCGCTTTGGCGTCGCACTGGACGTACGTTCCCGACGGGTCCATGTGATACAGCTGTGGCCCGTTGTCGTCGATGCCGGCGAACAGTATGGCCACACCGAACGGCCGACTCATGGCGTTGCCCTCGTTATCGGAGTCGCCGAATTGAATCGCCAGATTGGACACCGCCTGAGTCACCGACTCAACTGACATCTTCTCGTTGTATAGAAACCAATGGTTCTGTCAAATAGTGGTTACAATTAGTGCTGAGCCGACGACAACACACACACCACAGGACGCGCTTACCTGCGCCTCCACCCGAGCCCTGTCCACGAGAGTACGGCTGTCGGCCATCAGACCGCTGACAGCGCACCCGATATGGGTATCGATTTCCGAGATCTTCTCAGTGGCCGCCGCTTCCATCAGCGTTGAGGTCACTCTCTTCTCGACGGCCAGAACCAGGCCTTCAGTCGACTGAATGCCGATCGCTGTCGAACCCAACTATACATCACATCCCATGACACAAGCAGACAAAGACATTATCATTAGCCAAATGGTGGGCAAACGTGAGGCCGGTTTGGGAAGTGTTATAACAATACATACTTTGATGGCTTCGATGGCGTACTCCACCTGAAAGAGTCGGCCCTCCGGTGAGAATGTGTTCACTCCTCTGTCATACTCAGAACGGGTCATAAACATTGTCTTCGGCTAATGTGTGGTCACTTGTCGCTGATATATGGGATCAAAGTGTTCAACAAGAGATGGGAAGTGTCTTGTATTGTGTTTGTGTTGAGTCACGTTTGCGTTCAAAACCAATTGTATGGTTCGCACAATAAATAACGTCTACTTTTTGGGGACACATCTGTCAATGAATATACGGTTAAACCCCGTTATAGTGAACGCTTGTTATGCTATTATTTTACATACGTTTTTAAAGTGTATTATTAAAAATGAAATTAATATTGATTTGTTTCAAGTATTTATAATGTGTTTACTTTATCTGTTAGTGTATTGTTGTAATTAATAAACAGTTTGTACACTATATGTGGGTTTTGTGTGAATGTATTGAATAATTCCAATAATGACGTGACTTATGGACGACTCCAATAGTATGAGCGATGGGTTTGTAGTGTTTTAGCGGCGACTCTGATGTAGTGTTTGGGCGCAGGTATCGCACGATTGCCCCCAATGTGTGCCAATACAAGCCATACAACCACTCATTCACTCTCTCCCGTACTTCGCCTTCTATTGCCCACAAACACAGTGTTGTAGTCATCGCTAAACCCGTAACGCATTTCTGGTACCATTCGATAGGCAAATAACACACGCGTTGTATCGTATTGTACGCTATATTAAAAGATACTGAATGTGTGTTTAGGGTTTAGCGTGTTTTCAGTGCCAATTGAAATGTATTGTAATTTATTTGTGTGAATATTGAGTGCAAAAAATCAGATTTGATTATTTGGTCGAAGTTTTGACTGAAAATTATCGCCACTTTTCGCAACAAATTGTTCGCCAATTGTTGACCGAATCGTGTGTTTCGTGTTTCCGATGTGTCTGTCATTGGCTTAACGTCTCATCACTTGATTATTGGCCCCAATATTGTCGACAAACGATTGCATTGACTGAGAGTTACGAACCGTTTGTTTGCCTCACATTTGAAAGGTTTGTCCCTTTAATTGATTTTCAATCAATAAATTGTGTTTTGTTTTTGTTTGTTGTGTTGTTTTCCAAGTGTTTTGTGATGTGTTTAGCCATTGGTTTGCATGTATTGGATAACCGTTTGATGTGTTTGTGTTGTAATAAACGATCGCTTTTATGGCTAATGTAATCGACCGCTAATTTTGCCGTTAATCCGCTTTTAATCCGCAGTTTTTATCCTTCATTTGGTAATCCGTTTATGGATTTATGTATTGATTAGTGTTTGTAATGTTGTGTCAAAAATGTGTGCTTTAATTATAATTGAAAACTAAATTATTTGTATAATTTTTATGCTATTATTTATAATTACATGAAATTAATTGCATTTCTCTCTGGCATTAGTTTGATGTATAAATTATGAGTTAATTATTAGATTTAATTATGATTACGATTATAGTGTACAATGAGATTACGGCACATGTTTTGCTCATTTGTTTTTGTATATAAATATTATGTAATAATAATATTACACTTGATTTGAATGCCAATGCGTTTTGTGTGTTGTGTTTATACGCTATTCACTCAATGTATTGCCTATTAGTTAATGCCTTTCCCTTTGAAAATTCATGAATTAATAATTATGTAATAGTTTTGATGATTATCTGTAATATAACACTACAACAGACTGTTGTATTGTTTGGTGTTATATGTGTTAGAAATTTGTATATCATTTCAATAGGGATTGAATTGGTATTGAATTTCACACAAATTGATTCATTGCTGTCAAAACACTATCGCAATAATGTTTGACTTGTTTTCAAATTAATTATTTATTTCTGTTTTCATTTGGTTTACATTTTTAGCTCTTTTCCTATCGTTGGTATTAAACGTGGTATTTATTGAGCAGTTTATGTGTTGTTTTATTTACCCCGATATTAATGTTTGATTATTCACTGTATTAATCTGTCGTTAATCACAATTTAATAACTTATTTATGACATGTATTAAAGTGTATGAGTTTTTTGTTGTCTTTTATTTATAGTTTTGTTTTGTTTTTAAAATTAAATGTTTTATTATTTCTTTATTAAATTGTTTGCTTTTTTATCTAATTTTTATGATTAATGTATTGATTTTAATTGTAGTTCTGGTATCAAATTAATCAAGAGCTTAATGTTTTGAAATATTATATTTTAATGGTATTGAGAATTGTGTTATTAAATTAAACATTAGATTTTATTACAACATAAAAATACATGTTATATTTGGCAGATATTTGTTGTTTGCTTTTTGTTGTCATATATTTTAATAGAGTTTTATTAACCGAAATGAAAAAATGCAATATTTTTTGCCGATCGATAGGAATCCCACACTAGATATATGACTGACTGACTGTATATGACTTTTTGAATGATAAATAACAAGTGCATCGGTTTGAGTACATTATAACTACAGCCATGTATTAGCATATGTATGGGTGTTGTTAGCAGTGAATTAATTGCTTAATATATTCACCAGAATCCTCGCATATAATACACAGAATCTCACTGTTTATTAGTTTTGAAATAATAAATTTGAAAATTATTTTATTGCTGAGGATTTGACACTAATTCGAGTGAATATATGGTATAATAAGTCATTTGACTGCATATTCACGTATTAATAAAGTTTTTTCTGTTTTCCTCAAACATGTAATAAATGTATTGCTTTTGAAACTTTCTTTCAATTATTATTACTTAATATTTATTTTGGTTTGTTATTTTATGATCTCTCTCTCTCTCTCTCTCTCTCTTTCGTACAAAAATCACAAAATTATTTTAACCTTAATTTGAAGCCAATTTCATGTATTTACTATAATTTACTTTTATTTATAGTAACTAATTTAATAATGCATTTATGAATCTCTTGTTGATTACGTTATAATTAATTTTGTTTTTATCGATCTCTCTCTCTCTCTCTCTCTCTCTCTCTCTCGCACTCATTGTATAATTGCATTAATATTCTTCTCGATTGATAATTTGATGTTTAATACACGATATATGTGTCGCTGTGTTGTCTATCCACTCATTTGCCTGTAGTTTGTAATGTATTTTTCAATAAGTAATTACACTTTCAATACATAATGAAGATAATGGACACAATTTTTTTTGTTATCCCAATTAGTCCATTATAATAATTAGTGTTTTGTTCACTACTCGCCTGCATGTGAATCAACATTTAGTTACATGATTATATCCCATGATTTTGCATGTAATTAGTGTTTGTCACACCTTTTTATCTTCTTTAGATTGGCTTCAAATTAAGGTTAAAATAATTTTGTGATTTTTGTACGAAAGAGTTGACTGAGTTTTCTATTTTTTGTTGTTTAAAGCAAGTATTTGGTCACTCAATTTGGACCAATATGTTTTGTTAAAAGTAGATTTACATTTATTTATAGATATTTAAATAATTATTCAGCAAGAATTATGTAAAAGTGTGTGAATAATTTGTAAAATTAAATAGCATATTGTTTGATTGAATAGTTTAACCATGATAATGATTATAAAATTTCTTAATTTAAACGATTATTTACATTGAATTTACAGAATATTCTTAAGCCGTGAGAGCGGAGAGACAGGGATTGGAGAGTAAAAAGAGTGCAAAACATGGATATCACTCAATACAATACGCGTGTGGTTCAGGAGCCCCGAGGCATGATTCGGGTCATCACTTTGGTTAGTGTTTGCGGTCATTAATGTTTGTGTCAAATCAATGTTAACGCAGATGTCATATGCATTCAGGTGTTCGCCATATTGGCCTTCGCGACCACATCTGGTTTCGACACAATAACGTCGTTCACGACTGCGTGCACCCGCTTTAACAAGACTACGGGCGCCACGTATTCGCCGTACTTTAAGGAGAAGTTCCGTATGTCTGTGGAGTATCCGTTCAAATTCGAGGACCAGATACTGAAGCCGTACTACAGCTGCGCCAACGCCACCGGCGGCCGCGAGGCCCAAGTCTATCCGATGGACTTCTCGTCGAGCGCCCAGTTCTATGTGGCGACCGGTGTCTTAAGTTTCCTGTACTCGACTGCGGCGCTCGTGCTCTACATATTTGGAAGCCGTCAATACGAAAGCAATCCGTTGTTGGCGGTGATAGACTTGGCGGCCACCGGTGTGTTGACCATATTCTGGTTGGCGGGCGCCTGTGCCTGGGCTGCGGGTGTCAGCGATGTTCGCTACTATACCAGTCCATCGTATCTGTATAAGCACTTGGACTTCTGCAGCCCCAACAACACAGCCGAGAGCCTCAACCCTAAGGGCGAGTGCTATGAGTCTAACCCCGGGAAGTGGACGTCACTCAATATATCACTTGTAAGCGCTAACACACCGTTTGTCTAAATTGTTTGGATGTTTCTTAATTGAGTGTTAATTTAATTGTTTGCATAGATTTTTGGTTTTGCGAACATATTCTTATGGGCGGCCAGTATGTGGTTTGTCTTCAAAGAGACTCAATTTCATCGCAAACAAATGCCTGACCAAATGGGAGCGCCCGGCGGACCACAGCCCGGCTTTGGCCAGTTTGGCGACCAAATGGGTGGTCAGCAGCAGATGCCTCAGCAAACGACACATTTCCCGCAACAGCGACAACAGTTCGGCGACGGGTATTAGGCTATCGATAAACACAATTAACAAAACAGACCATATTTTACTAAAATTTAACCAAGTGTTAAGTCGTGTTTAACTTCACTGTATATGTTTTCAAGTCATTTAACTGTATGTGATTTTAGCCCGAAATTAATGCATTTTAGGTATTGTTATCCTTAAGAATTGTTTTTAATTTTACACTTGTTTATAATTTTATTGTTTACTTAACTTTTTCTTAATATCATGTATTTACTATAATTTACTTTTATTTATAGTAACTAATTTAATAATGCATTTATGAATCTCTTGTTGATTACGTTATAATTAATTTTGTTTTTATCGATCCGTTAATTTCTCTGTGACTTAAGCACTGATTTTATAACAAACACAAAACCAAACAATTGTTGTCTTAAACACAATGAATGAGATCTGAAATGAATTGTGAAAATCACTGCCGTTTGACTTTCAATAGATAATTATATGAATTGATTAATGAATTTAGTTTTAGTATACATTTGTCCCCAAAATTATATACACAACCGATACCTCTCTTTACGTCTCAAATCTTTTTAAAACTAACTAATATGTGAAGTACTTATGTCTTCAGTTATCATGTAATATGTGACAGAAAAACGAAATATTAATTCATTGTATGAAATGTATAACGAAATTGATTTTAAAAGTGTTTGATTTGAAGCCAAAACAAGTCTCTATAGGTTTTTCAAATGAAATATTTAAACACAAAATAAGCAATAAATGAAAACATTTAAAAAATTCTAACAGAATTGTAGTGTAATGTATAGTCAATTGCCATATGAATTGAAAAATATATAAATTTTGTGAAAAAAGTTTTTGTATATTTTAAGTCAAACGCTTAGAGATATACGTAAATAATTAGATAGTTATTAGAGTTAACGTTCAAATAATTGTAGTAATAATCAATTGATTTGATTTGGTTTTTGTTGTCCTATTAAGTAATAATAACTGACAAAATAATGCTTTATAATAGCACACAAAATACATACCAAATATCAATATATCTCTATATTTATCTGTATATTAATTGATTTTAATCAAAAATATCAATAATAACGAGCATTACGTGAATCTCATCACTAAATTATGAAACAAAAAAACAAGAAATAAAAAATTAATTGTATTTTTGAAACAAATATATAATGTATTTATTTGTAATGATATTCACATTCTTGTGTTAATTTTATTTTTTCTAATTATTTATTTAGTCAATCATTAAATATAAATGATTTAAGTTTTTGAAAACTAATTCAATAGACACTTATCAGGGAATCTAAACAGCATTTCAACGACACTTAAAAAGAGCTAAATATAATGGTTTACTAAATTAAATCAATACATTTAATGTATGTATAGTTTGTATGTGTTTTTCGCTAATGTAATCACATATTCATTCACTAATCAGAGGAATAAATTATTGTAAATAACGCTAAAAAATTATCACTTGTTATCAGATATGTGGAAGAGATAGTGAGTGTATGTGTTTGCCATCAATTGGTGGACACATTCATACAATTTAGGAAACATTTATCGCAAAAATATACTCTCTTCTAGAATATGCTGTATATGTGGTGTTGTTTTGAACCAAACTCTTAATACATGTATAATTTTCATTGTAAATCATTATTTTTCAATACCATTATATATGTTGTGTTGACTGACATTAAACAACGGTTTAAAAACTAAACACAAATTATCATACAATTAAAACTATATATTTAATGATTGACTTAACGAGCAGGTGATCTCTCTGTGCTCTCTCTGTGCTCTCTCTGTGCTCTCTCTCTCTCTCTCTCTCTCTCTCCGCTCTCACGGCTTAAGAATATTCTGTAAATTCAATGTAAATAATCGTTTAAATTAAGAAATTTTATAATCATTATCATGGTTAAACTATTCAATCAAACAATATGCTATTTA